GTTAATACATTTTATTATAACGGCATTTATTTTATTATTAGTCACTTAGATGCGATTAAACCCATAGGGATCCTGCTGCGCTTAGTGGGATAATCCAATTTAATCCATACGCAGATAGTGGGAAGCTGCAGTTCAGTGTATCCATTCCCGTGAGATTAGTGATCTTCTCAGTAAGCAGTGGTTTATATGTACAAGAAACAGTGCGAGGCCTAGAACTGATTCTTGGTATACAATTCGTACAACGATAATACACAAAAAAATATAACTAACCAAAATCAGTTCAGAATCGGGCGTAGTTGTGTACTGTTGACAGGGATTAAAAATATACTTGATCTGAGTAAGATTTAGGGTGAACTTTTATAGTCTCTAAAGCTTTATTTAAAGCTAAACTTCGTTACAATAATGGCTTCTTCTGAGCCCGATTTTTCTTTATAAACAATAGTTAACAAAAGATTCCTCAAATACATGTATATCCTCTCACTTCCTCTCTTCTACGTTCAATCCCTCTTTCCACTCTCCTATACTCGCACACTCTTCTCTCCTCCCTCCCTTTGTCATTCTTCACCTTGCTTCTCACTCTTGCTCCCCAAGGCTGCACCTTGCCCTCATTCCATCACTCTTACTCCCTCCGTCTCCTCCCTTCTCTGCTGTGTCTAGCACACACCAACACATTACTGCCCTCCCTCCCTATCTGTCTCACTTTCTCCCTCTCACCTTCCCTTCTTGCCCTTACTTTTCCTCTGGCAACCATCTTCCCTCTGTTCTTACCGTCCCCTCTCATTCCTTATCTTCCCTGTCACCAATATCATTGGTCTACAATAAAATTGCTTCTGAAATAAAACTAGTAATTTTTTACTAATTTTGGGTCACAGAATAAGAAAATGACGGTAAAAATTGCAAATTGGCTCAATAAAGATATGGACTCAGACAGTTGCTGTTATCACTGACCCGGGAAGGGTGGATGGGAAAGAAACTAAACAGGAACAAGGCTCTTGATTCAAACCCACAACGCATAATTGTTTAAATCTCTCACACAGTTTCCTAAAGCCACAACGAATAATTGTTTCAGCAACTACATAGAATTTTCTATAGCCAATCGATTGTTATTGTGATCCTGTTGGTTTTCAGCACCACAAAAACTATGACGTGGACCAATGTTACCTTCTATTCTTCCCCCTCCCTCTCCCACCTCACCTTAACTACATCAATAAACTATTAGTGTACAATGGATGTAAATATAAATTTGAAAGAGTTACCTGTTAATTTACGTATTGATACAAATGGCCATCAATTCCGTTAGCGCAAAATATTTAATATTATTATTATAATCAAAAAGAAGCGCTAAGCCACAAGGGCTATACAGCAAAAATATTTAATAGCCTTCAGTTTCACACATGACAGGCGAGTAGAACCTCCCTGGAGAGCTGCACTCTAGAAGTAGTTTGTACTAACCTACATCCAGAGTGCAAAACATTTAGCAGTCTTTTACTTCACACTCGTATTACAGACGGTAGTGTCTGCCTTGATGGCTGCCGCCTACTAATCTATTACCTATTTTCTCTTACATTTTCTTTTCCGTATGTTATCAAGAAAGGAGCCTTGATGCTGATTATTAATATAATCACAAGCGCTAAACCTACAAGGAAGCGATATTGAAGTGCTCTTGATCGAAGGAATTAGCTGTCCTCTTCCTCTGATCAAACCTAAGTATCTCTCATTGCTGGGAGCTCTACGACCTTAACGGAATTTGCGTTTTCTCTTGAATATAATAGTGTATCTCACTACGGGAGTTCCTGTTAAGTCTCATCTCGTCTGCTTGTTTTCCGAGTAACTGTGCGCCCCTCACTTGCTTAATCAGGTAAACTTTGTGACCAAGTCCTTGGCCTCATACGTGCCTAATTCTTTGCCAGCCACACGATGAATGTTTAGTTTTGGTGTGGGTGGCGATGGACACCAAACTGATGGGTATTGCGGTGTCTACCGTCCACAGGATGGGCATGATAATAGCTCATAAGGCTGGGTGTAGGGGTAACTAGCGCCTACAGGACCGGTATGGCAGGAGTCCTGCTGGCCGCAGGATGAGCAAAGCGCATAATAATGGCATCATATCAATCCTCCGTCGTTCCTAGTTGAATATCGATCCTTTCTTCCTTCCAGTAAGAGACGAGATGTTCTTGGTGGACTATCTTATCTCCTCCCGACACACGCAAGACTTTGGTAGTTTATCTTTGGTATTTTTAATTTTCACCCACCAATTTCCCTTCTCTGGCCTTTGACCTTTATTTACTAAAGTGTAAAGACCATTTTTGTCCATGGATCACGTGTCAGGATGAGAGATCAGGGAAGGAGACAAACAAGGTCACCCCCGGGTCAACGACTCTTGCGACTCGCGCAGATGATCTTTGCATGCTGAATAAAAAAAAATTCCCAGAGTGAGAATATTTCAAATAAATTATGAGTATAATCCTGTCGATATACTGAGGAGGAAGAAGCGCCTTAAAGAAACTGTTTTGTTGTAGAAGTGAGGAAGGTGGAAGGGCGGGAGAGGATGGAAGGCAGAGGATGAAAGTGGAAATGCGGAGGTAAGAGAAGAACCAGTAATTGCACCGAGGATGGGGAATGTGGGGGTGTTTGGTAATGGATGGGATGATGTAAGGGGAATAAGGGTGGCGCTCCCCTTACAGGGCCAGCCAGAAGATGCCTTGCAAGTGAGATAAGACTGAGGTACAGACTGGCAGTTAAACACAAGAACTGGGGTACAGATAGGCAGACACACACAGACATTAACTAACACGCAGGCAGACACACGCAAGCAGTGTAAGAAACAAGTCTTGTCTGACGCTATCTCCTGCGACAGCCACAACAGTATTTTGTTTACAAGGTATTGCAAATATCAGTAAAACAAACGATAAAACTTTCTCGTAATGGGTTTAGTCTGTAGCAGGGTATCATAAGAGCGCTTCCCAGTATTACATACCCGTATATAAAGGAGAAGTTCAACAACTTTGCATAACTTCATCGGTATTATTTCTTTCAGAGAAGTTTAGAGAGACCTGGGAGGTCACAGCGGCGGTGATGCGGATCACTGAAAGGTATCAAAAGAAAATTGTTCACTTCTAGGAAATAGTCTCGTAGAAAGTAGTAACATAGAAAGGGCGAATCCAACTAGCAAAAATCTTCTACTACATCTTGATGCAACTTTGGTGTGCTCAACATTAGTAATAATCCAATGCACTGTGCGCATTTGCTTCACATCTGCAAACAAGTCACTGCTAGACTAGGCTGAAATGTGTCTCCAGTCGACATGTTAGTGCATGACTTCTGAGTGTTATTGCATGACTCAGCTGTTTGGCTTTGTTGTGCTCTTTTCCTGGTGCTAATTATTTTATTGCCGTAAGTATATGGGCCATTTAACGTCCCCGAGTACAAGAGCGACGCAACACGTCTGCAGAGTAAAAGCAAAACAGCCGATAATTTTAAAACATTTAAGACCATCTTGCTTTGTTTGGCGCACTCTGCTTTAAATATACGTATTACACTTGTGCTGGAGCGTGTAATTCACTATATGCCCCTTTTTAAGGATGCGTGTACTAGGATGGCAGCTCCGTATGACCCTTACGGGTTTAGCGCTTAATAATTTTTATAATAATAGTGCTAGGATTACAGACACCAAATCGTTGTCCTTCTCAACCTGGGATATTTTAATGGAAATCATTATATTTTTCTACTGACGCAGAAGTGGTGTATAATGATCATCCCAGCCTCAGTTCAACCATCCATTCATAAATCAGTCTGTCCACCTATCCATCCGTCTGTCCAGCTCTGTACTACACTCCAAGTCGTAATATCAACATTAATCTCATCGTTTTTTCGCTTTTGGAGAATATAATGATTCCCACTAATGCGATGAAATTTTGATTATAAGGCGGATTATTATGCCCGAGAGGTTATCAAGGATCAACCAGTTTCCATGCCATAACAGGAATTTTTAGAATGCCCCGAAGAGGCCAATATTATCATTGAAAGAGGGAGTGATAGGCTTGTTGGAATCATAAGAGCCTTGGGAAATGGGAGGCAATCAGGTTCAGTCCAAAGAATGAGAGGCTAGGGGTAAATTCTTGAGATCAGAGTCCCACACCGGCGTTACGAGGAAATCTGGCCCCATAAGATCATTCAACATTTCATGCAATTTAGCCACAACTCGGTCATGTTTCTGAGAACATGAGGCAAAGTCGCTTAGAGGTCAGTACAGCCACTATATTATTATATTCAATGGGCAGCGCCAAATCCATATGGATCATACAGCTTTACATCCTTAAGTGGGTTTAGCGCTTAGTTATACTTATAATAATTTACATAGTCGCTGCATATTACCTCATTCAAGGTATTAAGTGAATTTCAGCTTTAATGGCACTAATGAAATCGACTAGTATCTAGTAATTAACTACCTTGCATAAAATTAGTTATGATATATCCAAGGCCGTCGCGGGATATGACCTGCAACCTCATTTCCTTCCTACTCTCATCTTCCATGTTATCTTCATGTTTTTTTTTTCACTTTTTCATCTCGTTGCTCATTTTTTTTTATGTTCCAGACAACGTATCGCCCAGTGATACCCTCTAAAAACACTCATCCGTGAGCGGAGTTTCTTGCACCACATTCTTTGCTTCCTTCTACTCCTTGTCCTCAACTTCATCCTTTCATTTCTCCCCCTTTCCGCCTTCGTTCTTTTTAAATGATAGTTTCCTACGAAGTGTAACTAAGTTGCATCGCCATTAGACACGTTCAATATTTTTTTTTTTTTTTGAACCAACGTTACAGTTTCTCGAGGTATTAATGCAAACGTTTACTTAGTGGACACTGTTCTCTTATGTTTGATGTCATTACAAGACTTTTCACTTTACCAAGAAGAGTATTAATAAATGATCACTATGAAAATACTTTTTTCTTCTGTGAGCAGTAATAATCTCACCTGGCTTTTTCTCCTTCTTGTGAGCAGATTACCTCCCTGGAGAGCAACGCTAGCACCAACGTACCTCCAGTGCTACGCAGGTTCAGGACTCGTGCCCAGCCGGGTATTATGACCAAGGCTCAGTCCATTTCCGCCATTGGTCGTCAAGGCTCGCACGAAACTGACGTGTGAGGGGAAGATGCACCGGGCACGCGAGGTGTGTTAGGTTATGAGAGGTAGTGAAGGCTGGAAGATGTAGCAGCAAGACTGAGGGACCTACCGGGACGCTGGCCTCACTGGCCAGGGAAATTAACCACAGGATTCCCTGAGTATCGGCAGGATCAGCGCCTACCTTCAGCATCAGTGTCTCTGAAATATAATGTGCTTGTGAAGTATTAAAAATATGTGGGTCCAAAGAAATTATACAAAGCCATATTTGATTCTTTTATCACGTCAAAGAATTACATTAATAAAACAGTAATCCCTTATAGGTCAATCTCAATCAAAAATTTAGTTTATCTGTTTTTTGGATTTACATAAATTTACAAAAAATATTTATATATTTAATATACGCGCTACTTAAAATATAAATGAAGTAACTTTCAGTGCTGAATATAAAAACTTTGAAATGAGAGAAGTGTTCTAAGAAAAAGTTAATTTTTAGTAACTTACGAGCATGAATAAATAAGCTCTAAGAGAAGCCTCAGCTCGCAGGATACACAAGAGAACCTTCAACTGAACCTCGTTGATCAAGGCTGCTGCAAGTCTTCAAACAAAAGGTGTTGCCGTAATGTGCTGCCCTCCAGGAGACGCTTGACAAACCTAGATGTAAAGATTCTTTCCCGTATGTGTCAATTTCAGCAGGCTGCCTTCACCACCAGCGCTGAGAACCTAAGCCTACCTCACCAGCCTGTGCTCCAGGCTGTTAAAAGAAGAGGCTTTAAAATTGCCTTCTGTAATCAGAAACATTAAGAAAGTCTTTGCTGGCTGTCAGCGCTATATATGTATATTTGTGTGACGCACTGCTGAAACCTGAATAAAAGTAACATTGTAAAAGATTTTCTTGTAAAAGATTTTCTTCCGCTGTAAATGACTGATGTACAGCTCCACTCACACAAGTGCTGAGTGGCCGGGGAAACTAAACCACTGGCAAGAAAGCCAAACCAGGTGAGTGCAACTTTCACTGGTCATCTGGCTGTTTCACTGGCGTTTATTTGTTATGCAGAATGTACATTTTACCCCTTTCATTGTCAGTATTTACATATCACGTTAATGTCTTGTCTTGTCTTAAAACAGTGATGAAAGGAGGCGCTTGTGGCGCGTACTGTTATTATTATTGTTGTTAAACTTCCCGATAATTAAATATTACAACAGGATAGTTTTGTATATAATATGTTCCAGTGTAAATCAATTTGAGATTACTAATTCTCATTGTTTTCCAGCTATTAAAGGAAGATATTCTGAAACAAAATTTAATGTATATCTAAATATCGCATTTATTCCCGCACAGCGATGGGTAGACAGTAATCTTTTTTAAATAGGCAGAAAAATAAAAAGATTTAACGGCGAAATTGGCATTCATGCATAAACTTTAAGAGCAGAGATACACAATATTTTGGAGATCATCTCATCCACTCTTATCAAGTTCCTCTTCATCCATTTGCTTCAGCTAATGGTAACGCGAGATCTGGAAACGGAAGTATTACTTGTAGTCATGTCTAGTCAGAATTACCTGGAAAAACAGTAGTTTTGTCTTCCATGTTTCTCAAAGTTGTGTGATTATCTGGACCTCTCTCTTTCTCCAATGTTTATCAGCTGTTTTAGTAATCACATTCAAGGATCCTGAATAATTCTAAATTCCGCATCTTTTGAATGACAACTGCTGTATGACCCTTGTGGGTTTAGCGCTTAAACATGTTATTGAAATTATTATAAAGTCTTCGGTTAAAGAAAACGAAATTTACGGTGTGTTTCAATTCAAACCGACCCTCGTGACATTATAATCCTGGGAAGCGCTAAACGCGTAGTGGGTCAGAGTTGGGGGAATTGGAGGGAATCAGATTTGATCCAAGAGGATAATTTTAGTTCCTTGGACCAAGAGTCTTTGACCAGCATCAGATAATCTCTTAGGGAACAGATGTCACAGTCCCGTCCATGTCTTAACTCAGTCACTGAGTCACTCAGTCACTGGGAGTTTACTCTTCCCAGTTACTCGACCTCGACTATAGACCTCTGTGTGTACATACTGTAAAGTTTCCTCATATGTTGCATGGATATATTAAATTACAAAGATTTTACAATCAATTAAATGTTTTATTTACTACAAGGGTTTCACTAAGTCCCCTTTCAATACATGTATTAGATTATCCTAACATATAGACTATCCTATGCAGCTGCCGTGAAGCTGGAATTGACCTGAATACTGTCAATAAGCATATACGGCTTGTGGCAGTCGAGACGATTTCTCCACCAGAAACAATCAATCCATGGAGGATGGATGGAGTTCTTGAACGAAGCTTCGCATTAAATGCCATAAACCGAATATTGTCTTGTTCACATACTTAGTCGGTAAGCTTTTACCGTTGATAAACACTAAAAATTAAAGAATACTGCAATCGCTGACAGATTCCGTAACTTCAGTATACAGACTCGCACCTCTGTGGAAATTACTTCACAACTGGAATTCACACAATATGTTTTGTCTAGCAATAACCATATATAAATTTTAAATTTTGTACAGTAATGATATATCCTTCGCGTGTTATATTCACACTATTATAGTGGAGTTGCATCAAATATTAGTCGCAACAGAACGCGACTGATAAGTGTTCACTGATTTTAAGAGATAAATAAAAGGTTTAAGAGAGTTAATTTAGTAATACAGACGAAGAGCAAGGGCTTAAATATTTAATATCTTAGTTATTAAATACCTCACGAGCCAATCCAGTATTTGAATAGGCCAGACAGTAGGGGTCGATTTATGTCCAGTAACGAGCTCGTCTCTACTGGGAAAAAAAAACAAACATACATACATACAAGGTGCCTTTGATATCGTAAGACTTAGCTTATGAGGGCCGAGAACTCCGTGGAGTCAGGAAATCTACATATAATATTCAAAGTGCTTTAATATCTTATTTGCAAAAGTGAAACCTATGTAGATATTAAATTTATTCAGCGATAGTAAAATATATTTATGTTTAAGACCAAATTGCCTACGAGAGCCCAGAATCCATTCCATGCACGTAAGCCATGAATAGAAATCCAATCTCAGCAGAATTGTCGTAAATAAGCCATGGGTGTCATGGAGGAGTCGCCAGGCCAAGGGATATTACACACGTTGTGACCCATATAGTTTTGACAGTTTGCCCCTGAATAAAACGTACATTGTTACTCGGGAGTCTATAATGCAGTTAGCAGAATAGGTAGTAGGCATGAAGAATTAATTACCTTATGACGTCACGATTCAGTTTTAAACTGGTAACATTTATTCCAGCGACGGTGGGTTGTGTGAATGCGTCACTAAACAGTCCATTTGCTGTGCTATCAAAGTCTCTTAACTAAATTTCAGGCACACTACGAAAGTAATTATTGCGGTGTGGTATTAAGATTACAAGGCTATTATTCATAAGTGATACCTAGTCGAGAAGCAAAATGGTACCCTTGGTACTGAATCGAGTACTATGGGACAGGCGGAACATTCTCTGCGGACCAGGAGATAGTGTCCAGCTGAGTGATAGCCAATAATAGTGCGAGTGATGGGTTGATAGGAGTTCAGAGGCGCGAGAGTTTCCCTGTCTCCTAATATCATGTTTATTTTTCCCCTATAATCTACCTTATCCATAATTACTACCCCATTTGCTTTGTCTGCTTTCGTAAGGTGAAGTCCAGGATCTTTCCTTAATTCATGGTATAACTTAACAAATCTTCGAGGACAAAGATTTAAGTTATACCATGAATTAAGGAAAGTTTTTTTTTATTTCACCTTACGAGACAAAGCAAATGAGATAGTAATTACGGACCAAGTAGTTTAAACCATACCCCCGGCCGGGATTGAACCCGCGGTCATAGAGTCTCAAAACTCCAGCCCGTCGCGTTAGCCACTAGACCAGCTAGCCACAATAAGATTCATCCAACTTATTGTGGCTAGCTGGTCTAGTGGCTAACGCGACGGGCTGGAGTTTTGAGACTATGACCGCGGGTTCAATCCCGGCCGGGGGTATGGTTTGTTTGCAATCGTGTCATTACGATTTCTTGAGTCAAGTAGTTTATAGGGGGAAAATAACATTAGAAAACGGGAAACTGACGCGCTCTTTCAGCTGAATTCCGGATATTTTTCATCCAGCACTCATAAGAACAGTCATGTATACATTAACTCTAGATAGACCTGTAATTTCTAACTAGTTTATAACAGTTATTTTACAAATCTGTTCCTGGATGGGTTGTTAATATTTAGTCATCACTATGTAGTGAAATTTTACGCAATAAAAAAAAGGCACTACTATTATCTACAATATTATCTATTATTAATGTTATTACAGGAATACACTGTCGTTGAATATTTAGTTAAATAGTAATAGGTCTCATAGAAATTTAAGAGTATAATGAATACTATACTTAGGGAAGCGGTAAACCCGTAGATGTCTTACACTGCCAAGGGAATGGAAAGCAGTCAGGTTCAATTCAAGAAAATGGGAAAAAAAAAGTCCAATTCCTAGGATCAAGAGCCTTCACCAGCATCGAGGCACCTTCCGTGAGGAAAAAATGGGAGGGAGGCAGTTCTTTCACTAACAAAGTTCAAATGTATATATAGTTCTTGGACAGCAGCAGTCGCCGCTGCCATAGCAGCAGCAGTCGCCGCTGCCACAACAGCAGCAGCAGCAGCAGCAGCAGCAGCAGCAGCAGTTGCCGCTGCCACACAGCAGCAGCAGCAGCAGCAGCAGCAGCAGCCCTTCACCTAGCAGGATTATTACCTACGTGCAGTCTTCAGACTTAACATGAAAAACTGTCAGGTTATGTATAAGTAAACTTGGACTTTTCGTCCTTAAGGACGAGTTAATTTACAAACTGGGACTAAAAAGGTCTTTCTGCTCTATGCTAGACAGGATTTACATTTTGATGCAAACTAAATTTCTAAAACTTACTCTCCATCTACATTTTCAGCATTTACACCTGAATACAAAATATTAGCCTAAAACACCGTCAAATTATGGGTTCATGATAAAATCAGGTCCAAAAAGTTAATGGTAAACTTTGGAAAACTTTACGCGCTTTGAAGTCTCTTGGGTACCTTTTGTAATTTTGAAAACCTTGTCTTAGGCGAGAACGCTCACGATGTGCATATTTATAGTGTGATCCACAATAACGTATTTTCAAACCTATAGTTTAGGGTGGAGATTGTTAGAATCATCGCTGGAAACCAACGCGCACCTTCCCTTTGTCTTTTGTGTTTGTGTACCGTCTTAAGAGTCAGGTTAAAAACAATAAGTTCAGTAGTATAACTGCTTGTATTACTCGTAGGTTTGTTCACCAAATCTGAGAAAATAAACCATAGTAACTTAGTGAAAGCCGTGAAATCGAAGTCTGCTATAAAGATCACTTTAGCATTGCTAGGTTCATGAGAAGTTTTATAGTCTTCCAGCGCTTGACGAGTGGGCGATGAGCAGTTTCAATCCAAGGGAAAACGAGCAATTCTTCGTATTAAGAATCCTTCACCAGCATCAAGGTACGTATCCCCTTCACCATTAGTAGACGCACTGTATCTTTACCTTCTCAAAGTCAGCTGGTTTATGGTCTGGTCATAAACAGACCTTAACGGCCACGTGCTGGATTGGGATACAGGTTTGCACTCTTATTGTTCAGAGAGTAACTCGAGAAATTAATTTTGCTAGGAAAATCTTTTCAGACTCGTGGGTCGAACTATATTTCGTTAGTTAGAACACTAATACAGAAGTTGAAGCATTTTGAGCTCTGATCCTTCACTTTTGTTAAAATGAAAGCATTTGGGAATTGGATGCGATTTTAAGATGAAGATCACCTCTTGCTTTCCTTGGACCAAGTACTCTTCTCCTGCCTCCAAACTCTTCAGAATATGTCTGAAGGAAAGAAGTCAGGAAAAAAATTCGTGTCACCTCTTCTGGCTGTCTTGGCGTTGAGGTAATAACTTAAAGGGATAAATTTCTAAGATCTCGTTATATTTTAACTTAATTATGAAAATTCTCTCATTGTGGTCCTCGTGACGTGGCAAAAAAACTAAAGAAGCCTGGTATTTTATATTTATTTCACCTAAACTATAAACAAATTAAAAACAAGAGAACCTAGATAGTGACTTCTTCTGGGATTTTCCTTAAGGCGCCGGTGTCCGTGAGAATGTCCTCAGAGAGGTTAGTCACCATGTCAAGTTCTCTTATGACGAAACGAAGACTAGCCACAAGTGCGTGATTAGAAACTTCTTCGCCCAGAGTCACCCAAAGCCTTCTTAAAGCTTCCTCCTTAGTGGGAAGCAACGTCATGCCCATCAAGTAAAACCTCTCCACAAACCAACTGTGGTGCCAAAGAAGAGCAGCCTCGTATGCAGGTCTGAAGGCTTCTTGTAGGGACTGCTGCGGGTGGAGGTAAACAAGGTTAACTAGGCTCGAGGCCAGAAACTGGAGGTGGCGATGAAGACAGGTGAACAATATCGTTCCAGAGAAGGGATATACGGAACCTATCTTGCCAGACGTGTCTTCGTAATGGATCATGCTCTTCAGTGTCTCGTATTGCAGACTCTCTCGTTTCTTTGTGTATAACTCCAGGTTCTGGATACGGCTATCCAACATCTGCGTCTGAATGTTTGCAAAGCCTCCGAAGCTGCCGAAGAAGAGCATAAGGTTGCGGTACATGCTAATGTACTCCAGTAGCACTACATCTTCACCTCTCCGACATTTCTCCAGACTGAAAAATACGGTTTTCAAGATAGTTGGCTTTATCTGAGCTACGTGTACAGCAGCTAGATTATGTGACGCATTCTTTAGAATCTTCTTGTCAGTACTTTCCTGAATACCAACGTGTACTTCTGTTGGTTCAACGGAAGGTTCATGCTGAAGATCATCCTCGGGGAGGTACACAGAGGCCTCCGTCACCTCACTTGAGCTGCCTTCCTTCAGTGGTACTTTATCGTGCACAGAGGAAGTCCCTCCAGGAGGGGAGACGCTGGAGAGAACTGTAATCTCTGTAATGGTTGGCTTCACAGAGTCGTTTGGAAGGCTTTCCAGTCTCCCATAGCCCAGCTTGGCCATGTAATCTGCAAAGTCTGCTGGTAGTCCACGGTTCTCCGAAGCAGTCTCAAGGACGTGGTACTTCATGAAGTACACACGAGGCATGACGACAAACACTATCAGGATCATAAGCGGAATAACCAGAACCATCAACACCCATAACTGGAAAAAAAAAATCAGTTCTATAATAGCGGCATCGAATCAAAGCTGATAAAATACCGTTAAATTAACATGCATTATGCGAAAATATGGGAGATAGATTGTGGGCAGGCAACTACTGAAAGTTTAAAAAAGAAAACGTTAAAAAAAAAAAAAAAAAAAAAAAAAGGTGATGACTTCTCAGAGATTTCTAATTCTAGCAATATTTCGATGCACGTTGATGATCACGTGTGACTACACTTGTGCCTCGGGGTAGAGAGTCTGCTCATAAACCAGCATTTTTAATTTATAATCTAAGTTCACTATTGTTGTCTTTTAAATCTAATATACATACATATATACATACATATATACACACAGATATACATACATACCCATGCATACACAGTGAAATTTTTAGTTTACTTCCACTACAGTCGAACCGATATTTTTTTTTTATTTTAGAGCAATAAAACAATTCAGCTCATCAATTTCTTTTTAACAACATGCTGTGTTTGACACTACTTTGATATTATAGTGACAGTCACCGTCAATTTCCAGAAGTTCTCATCACAAAGCGAGCAAAGCATTAATGTTCACATTCCAGTTTCTCTGACCATATTCTCTGACCATATAACAAGTCATAGTCCGTGTCAAGGCACTGGTCAGGAGTCGCAAATATTAGTCAGGAGGAGATTTATCCAGATTATTTCCGCGGAGATATAGGGTTGAGGAGAGTATCCTGGTGGAGGAAGGAAGGGGATGGGGTGGTCCAAAACCTCTTATTACACATTTGGAACCAAGAACTAAGCTATGACAGTAGTTCGATATAATTTTTACAAAGCCTCCAATGTTGAACTGCATCTAAATTCTTGCAAGTATTTAGATCACGGTTACTTCAACCTTCGAGGCTCCATTTCATTCCCAACATTTTTTCGACGCCTCTTCACTGCCAACTAAGAACAACAAATGACACAAAACAGTTATTTTGCAGCAATATGTAAATGTTCAGAGGGTCTGTCATAGTTCTTAAGGTGCAGCCGGACCTTATTGGGGATAACAGAGGCGAAGAGTGGGGAGAGAGCAAGAGTCGACGAGAGAGGGGAAAGACGGAGAAAGTAAAGGGCGAGAAGGGTAGGCAAGAAAGGGACAGAGGAAAGTGATGACCTGATGATGAAGCAAGATGATAATGATAAAAGGATAGTAAATCGATGATGCGCGAGACGAACAATTTATAGGACAATACGAGTGAGAAGGACCCCAGGAAAATCCAGTTAGCGAATGAGAGAGAGAGAGAGAGAGACAGACAGAGAGAGAGAGAGTTAGAGTGGGAGCTTTAGGATTGATGGGGGTGGAGGAGGAGGGTCCCAAGAGAAAAAGAGGGTCACGAGGTCGTTGTCCCATGCACCACTGGAACAAGAGACAAGGTATAGCGTGTCCTGTTCCACGCTACCTGCAGCCTGCATCATACAAGTGAACTCGAGCGACCTAGCTTTTCTTAACTACTTGATGCAAAAACGCGCCTTAATTGTCACTAGGTCAAGGAGGCGGCGTGTGAGAGCCAGCCGTGTCAGGCGTCCAACTGCCTATGCATGTTTTACAAGCTAATCTTATCTCTGTAGGCAAGACACGCCTTTCAGTCTGTTAAAAATCCAAGGTAGTAATATTGACGGCTAACTGGGGGTGATCCCAGTTAGCTGTGGTGGGGACATCCCCCCCCACCCCCCTCAATAGAGGTGATGTGGAACCTCACCGAAATGCAAAAAGCTATTAAACCCTTATTAATACTTACTAAAGAGAAACAAATTACAGACAAACGAACAGACATCTGTCAGAAGGTATTCAAACCAGACACTGAACCAAATGGTCTTGTGTAATTTTCAAGAGGTATGTTTGATACTTGACATTTTTGGATAATTATAAATGTTGTGAAGGGATGGAGGTTGTAGCGGCGATGATACTAATTATGTACACAAAACCCGCACACAAGACGAGAAAACTTTTGACGATGTTTCGGTCCGACTTGAACCGAAAGTCATAAGTTTCATTCTATGTGCGGGTTATTTGGGTATTGTCTGTTCTTTTTGGCGGCGGCAAGAACAACATGAACAACAGCAGCAGCAGCAGTTTTGTTGGCAGTAGAAGAGTTGGGGTTAAGAGAAGGAAGGTTGTGGAATTTACAGAATGCTGGCACTGAAATGTCATCCAGAACAATCATAAAAGCTCACATTCAACTTGCCCCATCACACTACTTAAAACCCCTCCCCACGGAGGGCAATGTAATAGTCATTTCCTAGAACAAAGCCAGCCAAAATAGGTTAAATTACTATTCTTTAAACGTAATCACTTTGACAGTAGCCTCCTTTAAAATGTCGAGGCCCGTACAGTCTCCACGAAGATATATAATGTCAATGAAATCTCAAAAAAATCCTGATAATAAACATTGTCAACCAGTCAGTGTCGCCCAAGCTGAAAAAAAAACTAGATTCGCCATATTTTTTATACTGTAAAGTATTCAGTAAAAATCGCTGGGTAAACAGGACTTCCCGACCTCAGCCTCATGGCGAACGTTTTACGCTTCCTGTTCATCTGAAAGGGACATACTAGCCAACACTTAGGAATATTTTCATGGAAATATTTAGGTCGTGGGACTGTTCACTTCCAACAAATATGGGACTTGAGAAAACATGTTTATATGTTGGAGTGAACAAGATCCCAAGACCGAAATGTTTCCATAAAAAAATGTCCATACCGCCCATCTTTTTCTCCTAGACTTGTCGGTATATACGAGGGGAAGGGATGGGAAAGCGTGATCTCTTCACATCCTTGTTCATAGCAGAATCTCTCATCCAGAGCCGAGCTAGAGTTTATTAGTCAGGAAAAGAACACACTTTTTGGTGGTAAATGTTTCCAGTGGTGCTAACACCGACACTGACGAACCAGGACAGCAGCAGTGACATCTTGCTTACCAGGGATGAACTCCCTTTACCTGATCTTCAGAGAGCTAGATACCTCACTCACCACAGAGCTTCAGACTTCCTTACAATAGAAAAAAAAGTGCTGTACATCTCTCCAGATCCCCTCTCCCCCAGGCAAAGCTACCTGTAATCCGAGTTATATTCATTATTCAAATACCTGCATGAATGCAAGGTCACATTTGAAACTCTTAAGCAAAGGTTCAGCGCTTCAATTTCGGAAAAAGAAAATGGCGCAGCTCGTCTTTGTAAACAAACTTCATTTAAGTGCATTGTAACCACAGTATTTACGTACGTTGAACCACATCACTTACATACGATGACAAGCATCAGTTCATTCTTTATGAAGCATCACAAGGGCGAAATAATTTACATTTTATTTTTGTTTTTAGGAACATTCTGAATGCTCCGTAATTGTCAGCATCTCTTCAATTTTTGCTCTAAACAATTTCGTAATTAACCTTGTTTGTGACTTGTTATTTTTCTTTTTATAGGAGTGTCGTTGCTCTCACTTCGGGAAACATTGAAACGTCGCATGTGCCCAATATGATTAGACATTCTTACTCACGAGAAATACCTCCCGGAGCGATCTTTGTTATATAACTACCCACTAAATGTTCATGCCAATATTTAAAGCATTTAAAAAAATGCTATTTAACATTTTACAAAAAATACAACACTCAAACTGGAGTAATTGATATTTTGATAAAAATAATACATTTCTATATAATATCAACTGAGCTGTTTCACCGATTTGGTGTTCAAGAGGGTTAGGGGAAGTAAACGTTTCAATTTAATTTGCAACGCTTTCGATACGCTGCTCAATTTCCACTCCACTATTTCTCGTGTATTTTACGGTGACTAATATTTAAGAGATGCTCAAGATGCCACTTTTTTGTCTCTGAAAGCGTACAAAAGTAGGTACTGGACTTTGGTTTCCAGCTTTTATGGATTCCAAAGACTAAAATAGCAGAGCGAGAACTATTGTTTGCTGTAATGTCCTTTGGTCTCGTGTCAAAGGGGTGAGAATATATCATGGGGGAGAGCTTAACCCGTAGGATTATATAGCGTACGTGGAGGGGAATGGAAGGTATTCAGGTTCAATTCAGGGAACTAGAGCACAGATCCAATCCCTAGATCAAGAGCCCCTCACCAGCGTCAAGGAACCTCCCTTGAGGGGCAAGGGGCGTCAAGGAACCTCCCTTGAGGGGCAAGGGGCGAGAAACAGGCCTCACCCAGGCGAATGTTTGTGTTAGATAAGGAAGGCCCTCAGTTTCAGTAATCTGTATTGTTAAACAACCCATAATTCAGGAACTTTTTCCTCATGGATGTAACTTTAAAGACTCTGGGGGCCGCATTGTTTACAAGGAGCAAGTTGTTTTGGTGTTAATACAGACTAAAATTCACAAGTAGAAACTGTCCTTTAACATTTTTGAAAGAATATAAAACCCACGAAATCCTCTCCTGTAAATTTTTTTTTTCAGAATTCTGGCTGTTAAGATATTTCCGGGTTTAAATACTTCGTGGCCTCGCTGTGGTCTACAACAACTTTTAACACGCAACGTGCTCATTCTCACGAACTTCAGTTCCTTTGATTTTTCTCCGATCTAAGCCATTGCAAAATATTCTTATTCTTAAGGTTATAGCTTTTGCTTCAAAATGCATGCAGTTTGCCTACACGTTTCTTCTCCACTTGACTGCAAGAGTGAATATTTGTGTTGGTTCAGAAATATCTCTTGTCACTGCAGTTGCTTGCGGGAATCTCAGTCTTAGTGCTGTTCTTTGTCCCTGCCACGTGAAAATGGTATTTAGATATTACCCAGCTTGTTGCTAATGTCGAGAAATTGCGATAACGCTTTAGTTATATTCTTTGTGTGCAGTGGAAAGATTCCACTTCCTCAAATGTTTTCAGTTATGAAGGGGATGTTTATGGTGGCAAGGTCAGGTATGATGATGATTCTTGCACTGTTATGTCAAAAATAGTGTTAGAGAAAATGCAGTGTCGTTTCTGGAACACTGCAGTGAGCAGTTTTCCTTAATTAGGTCTGTACCTGTAGCTGTGGTCTGCTAGCGTAGTGTCACAGCCTTGGTCTGGCCATTACTGTGTATTACTCTAGTTTTGTCTTGTGTGTTTCCACACTTCCCAACTATTAAATAGTTCCGTAGTGGGCTGATGAGCGCGACATTTTTCCAGTTTTCAAGGAAACTGTAATGATACACATTTTATTTTGCCTTTCTTTAGCAATCTCAATTACCGTTTCACTGTGAGAGACTCGGTAGTTTGAAGGTAAACTGTCAATTAACATGTACCTTAACCTCACAGACAAAATATGCTGGTGGCTAGTATCTTATTACAGACGCCAGCACACTGTACAAGTCAAAACTTGAGCCGCTAGGGAAGATCTACCAAATATTTATAGTTATACAGTACCGACAAGATGAGGAATTACATGTACACTACACGAGCATCTATATTTTTACTAGTTTTCCCAGCCAGTGGATCATCTCTATACAAGTGAAAGAGCCATAAGCCTGTGAAAAAGTCTTCAAATACAAATAACCATATGTTACAGAGGTGTAATTCCTAGTCTCGACCCCATAACTGACTCGCGAAGTATTACCATGTAACGGCTCATGAAGCAAACCAGAGTTGGAACCCACGGCAAGGTAGTCAAAATCAGCAGACCAAGCTCTAACCACTACACCACGCCAGCGTAATGGGTTCTGTTCATCTAGCTATATTTTTATACAATAGGGAGGTTATCCTCCCCTAAAGTTTTTTTATAGACAAAACTCAAAGCCAAAAAAGACTGGAAAGCATTAGCTGAAGTCTTCAGCTTCGTCTACGCTTGTAATATCTTAACATGATTGTAAAATAGCTCACTAACCTGACAAACCACTAACCAATTTTAAGACTGTCTTGCCATAGCCTAGTAACTGAGAATTAATTAGGCACTATTGATCTAATAGTTGATGTTAGCTAATTAGTTAAAAGAATTCTTAATATCAGACGGGGCCGCGTTCCACAGTCCAGGGAGTGGGGGGCCATGTTGGACAACCCTGGCACAAGAGCAAGTGATCAGGAGTTCAGATTAGCTTACAAGTTATTTTATACAACCATGAAAAGCCGTAATGAGAAGCTCATAATTGAACGGTATCAAGCTCAGCTGTCTACACTTACTCATCTTAAACATTAAACTATTATTATTACAAGATGCATAGGGTTTAATATTTATAACGTGTAGAGGGTCTACAGCGCTCTAGGAAATGAGAGAACGTGTAATAAAAATAAAAGTTGATTGCGCCAGGAAAGGAAGGAAGGAAACGGCACAAATTGCTTCACTAACCAACCAATAACGACAGTCTCGTGTTTTGTTTTTCCCTTCACCTCTGCCAACCTCAGCCTCCAGCTTCTTCTGAAGCATCAAGGTTTTATCTGTCGTATTTCCTTCTTCCTGTTCCTGTTCCTGTTCCTGCTCCTGCTGCTCCTGCTTTTCCACCTTTATACAGCCATCCAACACTGAAAAAAAAAATTATTTACTTCAAGTACATTAACAAGGTATACAGTCCTAGCTGACTGTCCAAAAGCACCTTGTTATGCAGAGCATTTTGGGCAAATTAGGTCAGTGTCCAGGATGCGACCCACACCAGTCGACTCACACCCAGGTACCCATTTTACTGATGGGTGAACAGAGACAACGATGTAGAGAAACACACCCAATGTTTCTACCCTGGCTGGGAATCGAACCCAAACCTTCACTGTGTGAAGCGGAAATACAGTGGAAATTAACTACATCTACCAGGGCTCTGGTGGCCTGGTGGTTAACGCTCTCGCTTCACACGGTGAGGGCCTGGGTTCGATTCCCAGCCAGAGTAGAAACATTGGACGTGTTTCTTTCCACCTGTTGTCTATGTTCCCCATCAGTAAAATGGGTACCTGGGTGTTAGTCGACTGGTGTGGGTCGCATCCTGGGACACTGACCTAAGGAGGCCTGGTCACAGACCGGGCCGCGGGGGCGTTGACCCCCGGAACTCTCTCCAGATAAACAGAAACCAACACCTTTACATAAAGGATGCTGAAAGAACCTTAACTTTCATGACAATGTTTACAAAACACAAACTTCGTAAGAAACATTAACAAATGTTTATCACTAAGAAATAGGCATCAACAACAGAGATGTCGGAATAAATTAAATTGAGCAAATACTGTACATAAAATAGAAAAAAAAAAAAAAAAAAAAAAAAAAAAAAAAAAAAAAAAAAAAAAAAAAAAAAAAAAAAAAAACTTCCACGGGAAGAGGTAATGCGGTAGGGACAGACCCCTAGGGACTAGGTGCAGTCTCCCGCCCCCCCCTAGGGACTGGGTGCAGTCTCCGCCCCCCCCCCTAGGGACTGGGTGCAGTCTCTGCCCCCCCCTAGGGACTGGGTGCAGTCTCTGCCCCCCCCCCTAGGGACTGGGTGCAGTCTCCGCCCCCCTAGGGGCTGGGTGCAGTCTCCGCCCCCCCCTAGGGACTGGGTGCAGTCTCCGCCCCCCTAGGGGCTGGGTGCAGTCTCCGCCCCCCCCCTAGGGACTGGGTGCAGTCTCCGCCCCCCCCCTAGGGACTGGGTGCAGTCTCCGCCCCCCTAGGGGCTGGGTGCAGTCTCCGCCCCCCCCCTAGGGACTGGGTGCAGTCTCTGCCCCCCCCTAGGGACTGGGTGCGTCTCCGCCCCCCTAGGGCTGGGTGCAGTCTCCGCCCCCCCTAGGGACTGGGTGCAGTCTCTGCCCCCCCCTAGGGACTGGGTGCAGTCTCCGCCCCCCTAGGGGCTGGGTGCAGTCTCCGCCCCCCCCTAGGGACTGGGTGCAGTCTCCGCCCCCCCCCTAGGACTGGGTGCAGTCTCCGCCCCGCCCCTAGGGACTGGGTGCAGTCTCCGCCCCCCCCCCTAGGGACTGGGTGCAGTCTCCGCCCCGCCCCTAGGGACTGGGTGCAGTCTCCGCCCCCCCCCCTAGGGACTGGGTGCAGTCTCCGCCCCCCCCCCTAGGGACTGGGTGCAGTCTCCGCCCCCCCTAGGGACTGGGGGCAGTCTCCGCCCCCCCCTAGGGACTGGGTGCAGTCTCCGCCCCGCCCCCTAGGGACTGGGTGCAGTTTCCCCCCCGCCCCCTAGGGACTGGGTGCAGTCTCCGCCCCCCCCTAGGGACTGGGTGCAGTCTCTGCCCCCCCCTAGGGACTGGGTGCAGTCTCCGCCCCCCTAGGGCTGGGTGCAGTCTCCGCCCCCCTAGGGACTGGGTGCAGTCTCCGCCCCCCCCCTAGGGACTGGGTGCAGTCTCCGCCCCCCCCCTAGGGACTGGGTGCAGTCTCCGCCCCCCCCTAGGGACTGGGTGCAGTCTCTCCGCCCCCCCCTAGGGACTGGGTGCAGTCTCCGCCCCCCCCCCCTAGGGACTGGGTGCAGTCTCCGCCCCCCCCATAGGGACTGGGTTGCAGTCTCCGCCCCCCCCCATAGGGACTGGGTGCAGTCTCCGCCCCCCCATTTGGGACTGGGTGCAGTCTCCGCCCCCCCCATAGGGACTGGGTGCAGTCTCCGCCCCCCATAGGGACTGGGTGCAGTCTCCGCCCCCCATAGGGACTGGGTGCAGTCTCCGCCCCCCATAGGGACTGGGTGCAGTCTCCGCCCCCCATAGGGACTGGGTGCAGTCTCCGCCCCCCATAGGGACTGGGTGCAGTCTCCAACACCTAGGGACTGGGTGCAGTCTCATCTCTTTCATAAAGTCGATAGTTTGTCGTTAGTATTAAAGCATCAAGTAAAACACTGTCCATTGTAGTGGACGGTGAAGCTGCCGTCTCAACACACTTGGAATAATTCATCGATGCAGAACATATTACACTGAACCATTTTGGGTTATTGAGAAACGTCATCATAACATTAGTTGACATTTTTATTCCCCCGAAATGAAAAGTATCAGTTACCATGGCTAACATGTCACACTACGGGAAATAAAGGAAATCTAATCAACATTCTTCAATTTCTAAACTATATCACAGGGTTACTCCAAGTCGCTGGGCATTAATTAGCCAAGGAAATTAAGGGACTTTTTTTGTTAAAGCACCGGCGACCCTCTCTCACTCAGGTAGGGCGATAAAGAAAAAAGCACTTTCATCAGCATTCAGACGGTCCATTTCAAATGAACCTTCGAGTTACAACACCTCCAACCCTCCTTCATAGGGGCAGGCATCTTGCGATCCATTTTGAGGACATGTTCGGCAAACCGATTTTCCTCAAGGTTACCTTGCTCGCACTCCAACAGCACACAAAACCGTAAAATCCAACTATTACTTGGATCTAACATGCTCATAAGCCTGCTGGAGGCTCGGGCAGCAGAAATGTACAGATGACTGAGTGCTGTACACTAAGAAATGTATTGGGAAGGGAAGGGGGGAGAAAGTAGGTTAAGTCACAGCATCTCCACCAGCTACCATCTCCAATGCCCCTCCACTCTGCTCTACCTAATTTGAAGGACTGGGATTGATAATGGTAGAGGATATCACCTTCAAGGACCACAACAATGTCATTATCACATTGCGAGGAAAATGATAGGATGGATAACGAGAACTTTCAAAATAAAGGATGCTTTGCCAATGATCTCTAAATCACTTTCTCTATGCTGGAACACTACTGTACACTAACAAGCTCTTTAAGGCTCGCGAAATTGCAGATCTAGACAATGTACAGAGAACTTTCACTACACGTATTAATTCGGTCAAGCACCTTAGTTACTTGGAACGTTTGAAGTCAGTTGACCTGTACTCTCTGGAACGCAGGCGAGAAAGATGCATAATCTACTACTGAAAAATTACTAGAGGAACAGGTCTCAAATCTGCAGACAGAAATTACTTCCTACTAAAGTAAAAGATTCGGCAGACTCTGCAACAGTTCCCTCCTTCCATTGAAAATCAGGGATCCCACGAGTACACTAAGAAACCAATAAGTGTCTAGGGCCCAAGACTGTTCAACAGGCTGCCATCATGCATAAGAGGAATTACTACAACTCCACGGCTGTCTTCAAGAGTGGACTGGACAGATACCTAAAGTCGGTGCCCGATCAGCCGGGCTGTGGTTCGTACGATGGATTACGTGCGGCCAGCATTAACAGCCGGATTGATTAGGCCCTGATCCACCAGGAAGCCTGGTCAAGGACCGGGCCACGGAGGCTCTGACCTCCGCAACCACCTGCAGGTAGGTGGACCAATGATAATTAAAACCTCCTTTTTCCTCCATTTCTTTGAGCGACCCATTCCCCTCCTTCTTGGGAATACTTCCAACAGTTCCGCTCGACAAAGATACGGAGTTCATAGACAAGCATCAAGTGGGAAGAATAAAGCAGCTCCCAGAGAGGAGGGACCTCTGTTCCATGGGTACAACGCGCTCCAACTTTTCCCCACAAAGGACACAAGGGAGGAGCAGAAACCAGCGTCGGGAAAGAGGGGAGAGGGGGGATAGGGGAACTTGCAATAAATCTTGCAGGACGTATCATTCTTTCACTGAGGCAATCCCTGGCAGACCCCTGGAAAGAGCGAGCTTCATCTAAGAGCCTCTAGGTTGGGAAATGGTAGGGGAGGAGGGAAATGGTGGGGGGGGGGGGAGGGAAACTCCGGAACACTAATAATGACCATAATTAGTCCAATAAAGACTGTCATTCAACAGGGCAAGGTTGTCATAAGACTGACAAATCCAGGTGATTACTGTATAACCATCTATTCCCTAGCCAGGATAGATGGCTTTTAATCTGATCTGTGGCCTGCCTGTATGACTTTCGGGATGGTGAGCTGACTGGCCTCTCATCCATCTAGCCAGTCTAATCTAGCTGGCACATTACAGTAACCAGGCAAAGTACAGACACTAACATTGCTATAATTCCCCCCCCCCCCCACAGACAGCTACGGTGTAGTGGGAGAGCAGAGTAAAAATAGCAAAGGATGAGGAATCCTAATGGTAAGCGGAAATGGACAGGAAAGGAGAGATGAAATGTTTGGCAAGGAGGGAAGCAAAGGAAGAGAGAAGGAAGGATTTTTTTTTACTCCCTCTCCCTCCCTCAAGCCCAAGTGTCTAGAGGTTGGTCCCGCTCCATGGACTCGAAAGAGCTACTCTGTCTCCCGAGAGATCAAACGAGGACATTTATGAACTAATACAACGTCTCCAAATCACAAGACAGTTCTTCACTAAGCTGATCTAAAAAACTTTTCCAGGTCACGACCCAACTCGAGGATCAGTTATCTCTCAGCCCAATAAAGCTTTAGGCTCGCAACAGATCTGAACCCGAAAGAGCCGGGTTCGAATCCTGAATGAGGAAACTTATGGGAGAGTCCCCCACATTCCTCCTGCTGCCCCAGTAATAAAGATACACCGAGGAGAATCTCGCTCTTTATTAATTATCCAAGTTTATTTTTTTGTCTTCTATCTCTAGGTCAGCAGCAGGAAGGTCATCAAGACCCGGATGTAGAGCCCCTCCCATAAAGGTTAGCGAGAGAAAGAGGGCAAGAGGAGAAC